GAGAGTCCCTTAAGTTCATTAAGTCATATAGAGTTGGTATATACTAGAAGTTATAAAATCGAGGGCTTCTTTACTATTGATCTAATCCTAAGTAGTAGCCAAAGACACATTTGCATGCGGCCTTGCTTTTCTTGAGTGAATTTGCTTCATTGCTTCATTTATTTAATTTGATCAACTAAAAATCAAAATGACACTATAATTCTCTTAAGTTTACTAATTGTATAACTCTGTGAATGAAATAATTTTCCTTTCCAATGACTTAACTTGCCCTGCATTCGTGGTTTTCAAGTTATTTTTATTATGAAAAGTTATTGTAGGGCTGTCAGGTTAACTAAATTGGTTAGAGCATGGTATTAGAACACCAAGGTCAAGGGTTTGGATCCCACTACCAGCCAGCCACCAAAAAAAAAAAAAAAAAATTATTGTATTTTGTGATTTCTGAGATAGCTTTTATTAATTAAATAGGATAATTTCAGGATTAGGCTATCTTTCGAATAGTCTCACTATAAGCTTACTTAGTATTATGAGGAACTTCAGACTTTTATTCATACCATAATTTGTATCACTAACCTTTTTTTTTTTTTTTTTTTTGATGGCTGGCTGGTATGGGGATCCAAACCCTTGACCTTGGTGTTATAACACTGTGCTCTAACCCACCGAGGTAACTGGCCAGCTCTTCTACCACTAATTTTTAAGCAGAATTGTGTATAGTAGAGTTGCCCATAGGCTAATGTCTTAGGATGGTGGCATGTTGGTGATGGTAGAAATTACCTCTGATAATATTAGATCCCTCTCCCTCCACCAGAAAAAGAAAAGAAGGTATTAGATCCCAGCTCATAATATAATTTGATTCCCATATATCTTTTTGCAATCAAGAGCTTCTGGTTTTGGTTTCAAAAATAAAAGATCTATTAAATATCTCTCTTTATCAAATAACACTATTTCGAATTGATATAGCTTCTGCTAACCTCATGGGATGTGGTTCCAGCTTTTCAGACTTTGTGGTTTACAAAGAAAATGGTCTGATTTGGCAAGCATTCCTATTTCCTCTTTTGGTTTTAAAAACATTTAAAGTGGCTTTTCTTTCTTCCTTTTCTGTAATAATACATTCAGTGATAAAAATTCCTTTATCCCTTTCTGCCTGCATCTTCTTGGGACTATTTAACTCTCTAGGCATTCTTTTTTACAGTTCTTTCTATATTGAAAGGACAGACCTTTTGCTGACATTCAGTATAATTATCTGGCCCACTTACTAAATCTTTCGTTTAAGCTATAGTTAAATTTGGGAGGGGGATTATTTTAGAATAATTCACTGAATGAAATCCATGTTATTGCTTCTTCCAAAAGGAATATAAAGGTTTGGGAAAGTAAATTTTTTACTTAAAGCTATTGCCACTATACATTCTTAGATGAATTTAATAGGCTATACATTTCTTAGATGAATTTAATAGACCTAACTTGCATTTTTTCTTAAAGCTCTAGAAAAATCTTTAGGCTAGCTGTAGTGAAGACTCTTTGCTTGCTTGAAATAGATTCTTTGTTATTGAATATGTTCAGTAGAAGTTAATTTCATTCTTAAACCAATAAAGAGCCTGAATGTTGATGTTTTGCTGTTTTTAAACAGGTCAGAAGACATCTCTTACCCAAGAAACAGAGCTGTTGGAATCCTTACTTCAGGAGGTGGAGCACCAGGTAATGAAATAATAGATGTAATGAAATTGTTTTTATCCTTTTTTGTCCATATGCTTTAAAAGTTTTTTTTTTTTTTTTAACAGAGATTATATATATGAGATCAAAAGATCTGTGGATCTGTGTGCTGCTATCATGGGCTTTTTGTTTGTTTTGTTGTGTTCTACAGGGATCAGTCCCTGGACCTTGGTGTTATCAGTACCACTATTTTTTTTTTTTTCCTCACCGGTAAGGGGTTGCAACTCTTGGCACGGAGTTGTCTGCACCACGCTCAGCCAGTGAGCGTACTGGCCATCCCTATTTAGGATCCGAACCCGCGGCCTCGGCGCTGCCAGCGCCGCACTCTCCCAAGTGAGCCATGGGGCTGGCCCTTATCAGTACCACTTCTAACCAACTGAGCTAACTGGCCAGCCCCTATCTTGGGGATTTTTATGAAATAGGAATCAGCTGATTCTTCTCAAGTTTTATTCTCATCATCATATTTGAGAACTAAATTAATAAGATTTATTCTCCATTCTAAAAATAGAATTATTTTTATTCATAGAAATCTAAATCTATAAATGGTTGAAATCTTTCCCAGATTGGGACTTAAGTGGTGGCTTTTGAGGTAGGATGTTATTGCCAGTTACTTACATATGGTGATTCTTATGCTAAAATTTAGCATTTTTTTTTTTTTAAATTGAGGAACAAAATGGCAAAAATCCTGTCTTCATAGAGTTTTTATTTTAGATTGGGGTGGGTGAGTATGAAGCATATAGTAAGTAAGTAGATAAATAAAATATATAGTGTCATATAAATATTTGATATATTCACTTGTCTTTTATTTGTTTTTTTGGGATTTTTGAATTTCTTTTTATGCCACATACACACACAGCCATCTCTTGAGATTGTATCTTAATCATCCTGGGGATTTCCTGTACTTCTTTCTTGGCTTCAATCCTATTTTTTTGATTCCCATGGCTTCCACTCTCTTAGTTTACTCCTTTGTTTTGGTATTGCACTTCCTTAAGTATCTTTCCAGGAAGGGTAATCAGAATAAACTTTTCTTGACTGCATGTCTAAAATATTTGTTTTTCTTTTTTGAAAATATTTTTATTTTATATTTATGCTTGATTGACAGTTCGGCTAGTAGGATTTGATACTTATTTATTAAATACTCTCATTTTCTCTTGAGTGCTCTCATTCTTAATTGTGCCTGTCGTTCCTGTAGTTCAGAGACTTAATTTTTTTTTTTGGTGGCTGGCCAGTACTGAAATCCGAACCCTTGACGTTAGAATTCTAACGTCGCACTCTAACCAATTGAGCTAACTGGCCAGCCCCTACAAACTCTTAATTTTATCCCCTCCAGGGAATAAACTAACAGGCTTCTCTGTCGAATTGATGGGTAAATTTAAAATTTTAGACTGGCTGTGGTGTAGTAGGGGTGCGGATCTGGGGGTTTATGTCTTGTTTTTACTTAACAGCTCATTGAGGTATAATTGGCATAAAATAAACTGTATATATTTAAAGTATACAATTTGGTAAGGGTTGACAAATGTATATACCTGTGAAATTATCACTTTAGTCAAGATAGTGAACGTATATCTATTATCCCCAAAGTTTCCTTGTGCCTCTTTGTACTGTCATCTTCCACCTCTCCCTCTCCAAGCAACCAGTGATCTGCTTTCTGTCATTATAGATAAATTTACATTTTCTGGAGTTTTATAAAATTGAATTATATATTATGTATTCATTTTATGTCTGACTTTCAGCAAAATTATTTTGAGATTTATTCATATTACTTTGTACATCTGTAATTCTTTCTCTTTAAAAATAATTCTTTTCTCTGTGTAATAGTCCATTGTATGTATATAGTACCATTTGTTTATCCATTCAGCTGTTTATGGTCATTTGGGCTGACCATAAACCCCAAAATCCAGTTTTTGGTTGTTACAGATAAAGCTGCTGTAGACATTCATGTACATATATTTCTTTTTCTCTTGGAACCACCTCAGATGGAATGGCTGGGTCAGAGGGTAGATGTATGATTACATCTTTTTACGTAACTGCCAACAGTTTTCTGAAGTCATTGTACCGTTTTTTATTCCTGTCAATAGTACACGGGAATACCAGTTCCTCCACATCCTCTCCAACAAATGGTATAGGTAGTCTTTTTAATTTTAGCCATTCTCATAGGTGTAGCTAGTCATGGCTGTAATTTTTGTTTGCCTAATAACAACTGATGTTGTGCATCCATTCTTGAACTTATTTGCCAATCACATATCTTTGTTGAGGTGTCTGTTCAGATCTTTGCTTATCATTTTACTGACATGTTTTCTTTCTTTTTTTCTTTTCTTTTCTTTTCTCTCTCTCTCTCTCTCCCCCCTCTCCCTCTCTCCCTCTCTCCCTCTCTTCCCCTGCCTCTTTTTTTTTGTTTGTTTGTGTTTCCGGCCAGCATGGAGATCCAAATCCTTGATTGTGGTGTTACCAACATCGTGCTCTAACCAAATGAACTAATCATCCAGCCCTCATTTGTTTTCTTGTTGAGTTTTCAGGGTTCTTTATATAAGAACTAGATATAAGTCATTTATCAGATATATGCTTTTTTCAAGTCTCAGGTTTGTCTTTATTTTCTTAAATGTCTTTTTAGGAGCAGATTTTTTGTGTGTGTATGTCAGCTGGCTGGTGTGGGGAACCAAACCCTTAACCTTGGTATTACAAGGCTGCACACTAACCAATTGGCTAACTGGCCAGTCCAGGAGCAGAAATTTTGAATTTTGATGAATTCTTGTTTTTTAATTTGATCTTTTGGGATCTTATTTAAGAAATCTTTAACCCAAAGCTACAAAGATTTTCTCCTAGGTTTTTTTTCCTTTTCATAAATTTTGTTGTTTTGGAACTTACATTTAGGTCTGTGATCTATTTTGAGTATTTTTATATGTGAGGTATGGATCCAAAGTGTTTTTCTGTTTTTTGTTATGTGGCTATCTAGTTATTCCAGCATCACTTACCAAAAAGAGTGTTCTTTCTTCACTGAGTTCTTGTTGCATCTTTTTCGAAAATCAGTTGTCCACATGTATGTGGACTCTTTTGTTTCTGTTGATTTATTGGTTGTTATGCCAGTACAACACTGTTTTGATTACTATAGCTTTACAGAAAAGATAGGGTTACCTCTCCAACTTTGTTCTGTTTTTTCAAGTGTAGTTTCAGCTATTCCAGGTCCTTTGCATTTCCATATGAATTTTAGAATCAGCTTGTCAATTTCTACCAAAAAAACTCTTTTGGGATTTTGATTGGAATTACATTTAGACCTATTGATAGATTTGGGGGAGAAGTGACATCTGAATAACACTGAGTCTTTACTTCTCAAAGAATGTATATCTTCCCATTTGGTTATGTCTTCTATAATTTCTTTCAGCAGACTTTGTAGTTTTCAGGGTACGGTTCTTTTATATAGTTTGTCAGATTTATTTGGTATTTCAGATTTTTTTGATGCTATAGTAACTGGTATTTAAATTTTTTTTTAGTTTCTGATTGCTAATGGCTCTACAACTGGTTTTTGTGTGTTGTTCTTGTATCCTGTAATACTGCCAAACTCGTCTATTCCAGTAGCTGTTTTTTGGATTGCCTGTAGGTAGTCATGTCATTTCTGAATAAAGACAGTTTTCTTTCCAACTTAGTTGACTTATTTCTTTTTCTTGTTGGTTTGCACTAGACAGAACCTTCAGTACAATGTTGATTTAAGGATGACATTAGCTATGGGTTTATTGTAGATGTCCTTTATCAGGTTTAGGAATTCCCTTCTATTCTTGTTTGATGAGAGTCTTCAAAAAGTTCATGGAAGCATTTGTATTACCTTTTAATTCCATTTTTNGGAATACCAGTTCCTCCACATCCTCTCCAACAAATGGTATAGGTAGTCTTTTTTTTTTTTTTCCGTGACCGGCAACGGATAGCAACCCTCAGTGTCGCGCCCTTATCAGACCGAGACCAGCAACGGGATCGCAACCCTCGGCGTTGCGCCCGCACCTCGCTCAGCCAGTGAGCGGGAACCGGTCTGTACGTGGGATACGAACCCTCGGCGGGAGCGCTGTCCCGCTCCCAAGCGGTGCACTATAGCAGTGCGCCACCGGGCCGGCCCTAGTAGTCTTTTTAATTTTAGCCATTCTCATAGGTGTAGCTAGTTGTGTCTGTAATTTTTGTTTGCCTAATGACAACTGATGTTGTGCATCCATTCTTGAACTTATTTGCCAACCATATGTCTTTGTTGAGGTGTTTGTTCAGATCGTTGTACATCATTTTTTTTTTTTTTCCTTTTTGTCTTTTTTCGTGTCCGGCAACGGATCGCAACCCTCAGTGTCGCGCCCGTACCGGACCGGGACCGGCAACGGGATCGCAACCCTCGGTGTTGCCCCCACACCTCCCTCAGCCAGTGAGCAGGAACCAGTCTGTATGTGGGATCTGAACCCTCGGCGGAGGGCCACCGCACTCCCAAGCGGCACACGGTAGCAGTGCGCCACCGGGCCGGCCCTAGTTGTACATCATTTTATTGACTTCCTTCCTTCATTCTTCCTCCCTCCCTCCCTCCCTTCGTGCGGCCGGCCAGCATGGAGATCCAAACCCTTGATTGTGGTGTTACCAACATCGTGCTCTAACCAACTGAGCTAACCATCCAGCCCTCGTTTGTTTTCTTGTTGAGTTTTCAGAGTTCTTTATATAAGAACTAGATATAAGTCACTTATCGGATATATGTTTTTTTCAAGTCTCAGGTTTGTCTTTATTTTCTTAAGTGTCTTTTTAGGAGCAGATTTTTTGTGTGTGTATGTCAGCTGGCTGGTATGGGGAACCAAACCCTTAACCTTGGTATTACAAGACTGCACACTAACCAACTGGCTAACTGGCCCGTCCAGGAGCAGAAATTTTGAATTTTGATGAATTCTTGTTTTTTAATTTGTTCTTTTGGGATCTTATTTAAGAAATCTTTAACCCAAAGCTACAAAGATTTTCTCCTAGGTTTTTTTTCC